AGCTTATGCACAAATAAATCGGTTCGTTTTTAAGGTGCCACAGTCTTCCTTGTTATTTTTGCAGATACAAACCAACACAGCTACTCCTCTGAGACTCTGCTTCAGAATAACAGGTCTGTGTTGGCAACAGGGTAGAATGGGATCAGGTTCACTTTGCCTCTGATTGAAAGACATCCTTAGGTGCTCAATTCCCTGTGCTTGGCTCCCTCCAATTGCTTGACCTGCAGTGCTCAAATGATCTCTCCCGTGTGGCGCCAAATGCCTTCAATCCTTATTGTCGTCTAAAAAGCAGACCCTTTATCCTGTTGGTGGAATAACTTCACGACCTATGCACCTGGTGACTTGAGCTTTTCTGGCTGACTGGATGAAATGCCTTCAAACTCCCCAAACTAGTGATCAGCCTGTGACTTAAAGCCTGAGAGACAGTTTTAATCAGATCAGAACTGGTGCAAATACTATTTATTTACATGATTCTACATTTTAAAAAAATCATTACTAAGCTATTTTCCCTCAACAAAACAAGGCAAAATGTGACAAAGGTTAACTGTATATTGTATAAAAATAATTTCCTTTCGATGCATTTTAAATTTGTTCAAGTTAGAAATAGAGGGCTTTATGTAAAAGGGACTATACGGGAACCGGGTATTCACCTGCTATATACATTCCTCTATAGGTTGAGGGGATAAGACATCAAGCACAAATGTCTACCAAATCAAAAGCTCTATTAAAAGGAAACAGCCAATAACCAATCCTTCTCGTTCCAAATGAATGAACTAAACTGGCTCAAGTCAAGCACAGGTGGCCCTCTGGTGGGCAAAATGCTGCAAGGGCGACTCTCTTTGAGATGTGGAAAAAACATGGGATGGATCCTTTAGGGCAGGGCTACTCAACTTTGGAAGCCCTGGGGGGCTGCAGTAATACTCACAGAACATGCCGAGGGCTGCAACTTAAGTGTGGTTGCATATACTTGCAGATATATGCAAACAGTGTCTTTCATACTGATGGGCACCAATACAAAGATTAAGGCAAGACTACACAACAAACAGGCCCCATTTTAGTCAGTTCTGCTCATATTAATAAAATACAATATTTTCCCAATTTCCACCCATATGACAGCACTTTTAATGAGCAATGACAGTCCAGGAATTTAACTACTAAAATGCATAGCAACAGAAGACCATTACATTGACTACTTTTTTTATTTGGCTCCCACCCACAGGCTGTGTGCTGAGCCCTGCATAAACCCAAACTGCACCATGGGCTGCAAGCCACATGTTGAGTAGCCCTGCTTTAGGGGATACTACCACACTCCTTTTTTGTATCATCTTGGCCATCCTTTTGCCCACTGCTGTCTTCCCTCTTGCAGAAGGATAGCTTCATAACATCAGCTGCAAAAAGATCTCCGATTATGGACTGTTATAAACAGAATGGTGATTAATTGTTCTCTGTGTATACTGAAATTAGGACAAAAAATAACCAGATTAAACTACAGCTAGGGAGATTTAAACTAAATATTAGGGGGAAATGAACTAAAAGGAGAGCTAAGTACAGGAATAGGTTATTGGGGAAGTTGTAGAATCCTTGTCACTGGTGGTGTTTAGGAACAGGTTAGATAAACATCTGACAGGTATGGTCCAGATATGGGCCCTCAACATAGAGGAAATAGGGCTTTTAATTTGGAAGAGGTTTGTGCTCGGTGACCTACATTTCTAGTATTCTATTAGTCCATCAGGTATGGAAATGTATCAAAGAAAAGAAGTTACAGTACCAAGGTACACAGCAGTGCTGAAAATAATGTCAGAAGATGCTGAACAATTACTTGGAGAATTGTCTCCAAGGAGGGAAGGAAGAGAGGTCAGTTGTTGGCCATCATAGATAAAGTCAGAGATACTCCACCAAAGAACTGCCTCTTACTTGCTCTGGCCTCCACTCACACTGGAGGAAAGTATCCTGAACAACATTAGGCCAATTCTAGCTTCTCAATCCCTCACTGTGAACTAAAAAACACTGAACCTTTGGATCTACTGTTTGATCCCTCACAAAAGAAGTGATAGGCAGCCAAAGCTTCTCTTGAGTTTGATATACAGAACCCCAAGACTCAAGGCATGACATACTCAGTAGCAAAGTCTCATGTCTGGGGCAGGATCTGGGAATTTCCAAGACTAGCTTCAGGTACAGTAAATCAGGTATGAAATGAGTTACACATGGAGCCATTGCTATACATGCCAGCTGCTTTCAGAAGTGGTAAAGGGCCAAGGTAGGGTAGGAGTAAGCCTGCCTTAACTCCACTGCTCCACCACCTGGACGCCATCTCAGTTAAACGGTGCCCAGCCAGAGCATGTTTCATGAACCTGTCCCAGCCCTGAATCTCCTCCTACATCCAACCTCCTGCCCCAGACATGAGTCCCCCTGCACCCAAACTCCTTCCCAGAGCTTGCACCTTGAAACTGCTCCTGGACCCCAGAGCTTGCACCCTGAAACCCCTCTAGGACCCCAATCTCCCATCCTGGGCTAAGCCCAGAGCCCCTCCCACACTCCAAACCCCTTGGCCCAAGACCAGAGCCTGCACCCCAACCTCCTACCCCAGCCTAGTGAAAGTGAGTATCTTACATTGAGGAAGAGCAATGGAGTGAGCAGGACGAGGTCTCGGAGAAGGGGCAGAGAGGGGCAGTGCCTCAAAGTAGGGGTGAGAAGGAAGCAGGGCTAGGGTATTTGGATTTGAGGTAGATCTTACATTGCACTTATATTAACCACAAGATAACTTTTTTAAAAAGGTTGGAGACCATTGATTTAGGTCATACCTGAAAGGTGATTCTCTAACCTGCTGTTTAAAATCTCCAGTGATTGAGATTCAATAACCTCCCTGAGCAATTAATCACTGACAAAGCTTTTCCTGATGTTCAGTCTAAACCTTCCTATCTGAAATTTAAGATTGCTTCATCCTAGCCTCAGATTAAGGAAAACATTTTTCTCCCTCCTCCTTGTAACCTTTTATACACTCAGAATCCCCCCAAACAAAGCAGTCCCTCCCTGAACCAGTCTCTCCATTAGTACTGTTGAAGAAACTCCTGAGAGCTCTGTGTTTTTAGAAGGCAGGCAGACAAAACTTGGGAGGGGGAGAGAATGCTGCAGACAATGCAGTTTCCAAGCAGCACATTCAACCTTCAGCACATCATGCCAGGAGTGCTGCGTGTAGAGAATCAGGAAGTCTGCAGCATTTCCCCCTGTGCAGTTGCCTGCAGACACAGAAGACACAGGTTGGTGCATGCAGAACGAGTGAGACACATGCATAGCTAGAACTTCTCCTGGCCCAGATTCAGGTCCAGGCAAATTCACAGATGCTTAGTTGAACTGAGGATGCTAATCTGGCTACAGGTCATTGGCACCATTCTGTCTCCATGACATCAGGAGAAATTGATGAACAAGAATGGAGATGGCCAGATGACATCACCCCTCCTGCTGCAAAGAGGGGCAGAAACTATAGAACCTGCTTCATGTTAAACTAATTCAGATTACTGCTCCCCCTCCATGTCTAGCCAAACGGGTAGTATTTCTAAAAGCTCTTGCCTCCGCTGTGACCCTTTCCTATGAGTCACACTAGCCAGGGTGCATGTAGCTTGCTTGATATGCTTGTCTGGAAGAGGAGTAAAGTCACTGCTGGAAATCATTTTGATCATTCCACACAGGGAATTCGGGGCTATTTACGCATCGTTGAGAGCCCTGATCTAACATCATGAGCCACGGATTCATCCACTTGAAAGGGATACCAAGACTCTGTCTCTCTAGTTCTTCATGGCATCCACTGCTGTAGTAAACGAGTTCAGATTTTTCTGCACCAGACAAAATGAGAGCTTGCTCCAGTTGTAGGCTGCCAGATGGAACTCTGTAGTGCAATACTACAGCTGGGACTCTGGGATCCACACCTTCTGCTCACAGTCTTATCCAGCAGCCAGCACTCACTCACAGCTTAAAATGCAAATATTGGCCACAGTCAGAGAAGGGGATGCCGATTTCATTACGTGCTGGCAAGTATACTAATGTGTAGTGGGACATATACAAACTTTCAGAGATATACCTACCATAGAAGGGGGAAGAACTCAACCAAAGCCTTTGGGCTGACTCCCAAAATACACTTTGGCAGCATAACATCCAGCAATACTGATGTCAGAAGCCCACGAGGCAGTTGCCACAGAATCCACTCCCTCCATAATCATTTTCATTTTTAAAGTTATGTTTCTAGTTCTTATGGTTGACAAGAAAAGTCTTCCAAACATGAACACAGTGACAAATACAGTGTTGTTAATCAAAGCCTGCAGACAGCCTGAAACAGCTCTCAGATTCATGGAAAAGGAATGCTCACCCTGAGGCCTAATAGTAAACACTTTGTCTACTGTTAACTATTTAGTTGATCATTTTAGAAGAAACCACCAGATGGTAAGTTTACATCCCACATTCCAAAAGTGCCATCACTTCCCAGGTGCTATAAACTCTGTCCACTCTTACCACCAAAACCTCCATCTTCCAACTAAAACCTGACAACTTTTATAATGCAGTTAAGCAAACTCAAAGGCAATACTTGCAGCACTGAATATAATGAAATGCATGTATATTAAAAGTAACTTACAAGTTACTGTGCCGACTCCATTATTCATTTGAATAGTAAGTATACTAAAAGTCTCACTAATGGATTTACCAGAAGTTGGTGCAGAATTTCCAGCCTGCTGCCATGAAGCACCACAGAAACCAGGAAGTCTTACTGCAGAATTCAGTTAAATTTCCAGGTCCTTGATTTAGTCAGTCCTACTAGAAATCAGTGGCATGAGTGACATGGCGAGGAACTAAAAGATCAGAAGAGGACTTTTCACGACTAAGGTTAATCGGTTTAAGTCATCACTTCTGTGCCTCTCAGAAATAACTCTAAACCAGGATGAGAGCATTTTTAAAATATTTTATTTAATATACAAACTATATACAAAATTC